GCGACTTAGCAGCAGCATTTACCAACTAGACCTAGAGCACTCCACCCAGGAAGAGCAAAATACACATTCTTCTCAAGTGCATATGGAACATTCTCCAGGACAGACCATGGGTTAGGTTACAAAACAAGCCTCAATATACTTAAAATGATTGAAATCATACAAAATATGTTCTCCAACCACAATGGAAAGAAGTTAGAACTCTACAACAGAAGGAAATTTGGAAAATTACTAAATATGTGGGATTTAAACAACATACTCCTAGATAGCCAATGGGTCAAAAGAAAAATCATAATGGAAACTAGAAAATTTTCTTAAGATGAATGATATACAAACCAAAACATACCAAAACTTATGGATGAGTAAAACTGTGCTTCAGAGAAATTTACAGCTAAAGTATTTATATTAAAAAAGAAAGATCTGAAATGAATAACATAATTGTCACTTTAAGAGAAGAAAAAATTAAATCCAAAGTAAGCAGAAAGGAGAAAATAATAAAGATGTGAGTGAAAATTTAATAAAATAGACTAGAAAAATAGACAAAGCACTAAAACCAAAAGTTGGTTCCTTGAAAAGATCAAAATTTACAAACCTTTAGCTAGGCATAACTAGCTAAACCATGCATAAATGTTAAGTGCGTATGCTTTTGACCAGGCAAAAAAGAACTTGAGTTACTAAAATCAGAAATGAAACAGGAGACATTACTATCAACACTGAAGAAATAAAAATGATTATAAGGGAATCTTATGGACAACTATATGCCAGGTAATCAGATAACCTAGATGAAATGGACAAATTCCTAGAGAGACACAAATTACTGAAAGTGACTTAATGAGAAGTAGAACACCTGAATAGGCCTAAAAGAAGAGAGTATATCAGTAATCAAAAAACTTCCCACAAAGGAAAGACCATGAGCAGATGGCTTTACCAGTGCATTCTACCAGTTAAGAATTAACACCAATTCTTTTCAAACACTTTCAAAAAACAAGAGAGAAGGAAACACTTCATAATTAAGGCTAGCATCACACTGATACCAAGTCAGAGAAAGACATCACGAGACAATTACAGATCAATATCCCTCACTGAATGTAGACACAAAAATGTTCAGCAAAATACTAGCAACTTGAATCCTGAAACTTATAAAAACATAATCCCATTACGACCAACTGGGATTTATCTCAGGAATGTAAGGTTGGCTCAACATATGAAAATCAATTAATATAATATGCCATATTAATAGAATAAAAGACAAAACCACACAATCATCATAACAGGCATAGAAAAAGTAAACTTGTTTATGATAAAAACCTTCAACAAGCTAGAAGCAATAGGGAACTTTTCAACCTTGATAAAGGGACATCAACAAAAATCTCACAGCTTACATCATCCTCAATGGTGACAGGGTGAAAGCTATTCCCTTAAGACCAGGAACAAAACATGGATGTCTGCTTGCACTACTTCTCCTCAACATTCCACTAATGAAGGCTCTAGCCAGGAGCAATTAAACAAGAAAATGAAATAAAAGGTAGCCTGATTGGAAATGAAGAAGTAAAACGATCTCTTTTTGCAGATGATACGATCTTGTACACAGAAAATTCTAAGGCATCCACTGAAAAACTATTAGTGCTAGTAAAATGAGTTTAGCAAGGTTGCAAGGATAAAGGTTGCTAAGATGACTCTACTACCTGAAAATGACTTGCAAATTCAAGGTAATCCCTCTATCAACATCCCAGGCAGGTTTTTTTTTTTTTTTTGGCAGATATTAAAAACTGTTGTAAATTCATATGAAAATTCAAGGAAATGCAATGTTCTGACCAGCAAAAACAATCTTGGGGAAAAAATAAAAAGAAAACCAAGTTGGAGGACTCACACTTGCCAATTTCTAACTTCCTACAAAGTAACAATAATCAATACCATGTGATCCTGGCACAAGGACAGACATAGGGACCAATAAAATAGGACTCAGAGTCCAGAAATAAATTCATATATTATGCTTAACTGACTTTTGACAAGAGTGCCTAGACCATTCACCTGGGAAAAAAGAATAATCTCTTCAACAAATGGTACTGGGACAATAAATATCCAACATGCAAAAAAAAAAAAAAGAAGTTGGACCTCTACCTCACACCATATATATATATTAACTCAAAAAGGATGAGAGAACTAAATATAAGAGCTAAAACTCTAACACTTTTGGAAGTCTCTGTGACCTTGAATTAGGCAATAGTTTCTTAGATGTGACTCCCCAAAACACAAACCAAACAAAAAATAGACTGATTGGAGTGCCCCACAGAAATCCCCAAAACAAAAACACTTGTACTTCAGAAGATACTATCAAGAAAGTGAATAGAGAACTTACAGGAGAAAACTATCTGCAAATCATATATTTGATAAGGGCCTGTGCTTAGTCAGTCAGTTGTGTCTGGCTGTTTGCAACACCGTGGACTGTAGCCCACCAGGCTCCTCTGTCCATGGGGCTTCTCCAGGTAAGAATACTGGAGTGGGTTGCCATGCCCTCCTCCAGCGGATCTTACCAAACCAGGGATTGAACCCAGGTCTCCCACATGGCAGGTGGATTCTTTACCATCTCAGCCACCAGGGAAGCCTGATAAGGGCCTATGATCTGGATTTTATAAAGAACTCATAGAACACGATGACAAAAAAGACAAATAATTCAACTAAAAATGGGTGAAGGACTTGAATAGACGTTTCTCCAAAGAAGGTATTCAAGTAGACAACAGGCACATGAGAGATGTTCAGTGTCCTTAGAATTTTTCATGCGTGCATGCTCAGTCGCTTCAGCAGTCTCCGACTCTTTGAGACCCTACGGGCTGCAGCCCTCTAGGCTCCTCTGTCCATGGGACTCTCCAGTATTCTTGCCAGGGAGAAAAATGCAAATCAAAGTCACAATGAGGTGCCACTTCAAACCCACTAGATATGGCAAAATTTTTTAGAAAAACAAAAATATGCACTGGTGAGGATGCAGAGAAACTGCAACACCTGTACATCGCTGGCAGGAAAGTGAAATTGTGCAGCTGCCTGGAGATCTGTCTGGTTGTTTTTCAACAAGTTAAACTTAGAGTTAATGTATACGCCAGCAATTCTACTCCTAGGGATATATCCAAGAGAATTAAAGATACATTCACATGGAAATTTGAGTATACAAATTCATAGAACCATTCATAAAAGACAAAATGTGGAAACAACCCACAACATCCATCAATGGATGGATGAACAAAATGCAGTATCCATCTATCCACACAATGAAATGGGGCTTTTCTGGTGGCTTGATGGTAAAGAATCTGCTTGCAATGCAGGAGAGCCAGGTTCCATCCCTGTGTTGGGAAGATCCCCTGGAGAAGGAAATGGTAACCCCCTCCAGTATTTTTGCCTGGAGAATTCCATGGACAGAGGAGCCTGGCGGGCTATAGTCCATGGGGTCACAAAGAGTTGGACATGACTGAGTGACTAACATGTTCACACAATGGAATATTATTCAGTTACAAAAAAGAACAAGGTATTGATACATGCTTCCAATGGATGAACTTTGAAACATTATAGGAAGTGAAAGAACCCAAATATTCAACCCACATATTGAATGATTCTATTTATACAAAATGTCTAGAACAGGCAAATCCTTAGAGTAGATTAGTGGTTTCTGGACTGGCAGGGTGAAAGGGTATGAGGCTTCTTTCTGGGATGATAAAAATGTTCTGGAATTAAGACAGTTGTGATGGTTGTACAACTTTGTGAATATGCTAAAAAAACCCCACTGAAATAGCTTACTTTTAAAAGGGTATATTTCATGGTATGTGAATTCTACCTTAATAAAAAAAAAAAAAGAATCTTCAGCCCCCTACTTATATGACTACTCTAGTGGGCCTGTTACTAATGGGAATACTCTCAACTGAGGCATGCTGAGATGGAATGTTGGGAACGGACTGCTCAAAACATCTACACATACTGATAATCCCTTCAAGTTTATCATATTGATTCATCTAACAAAATATTTCAACAGCTTCCTTACAAATAATGCAGAAAAATTACATTTACACATGTAAAATTATTCTCATCCAACTCTTCCCTAGTGGTCCAATGGTTAAGAATTTGCCAGCCAAAACAGGGGACACAAGTTTGATCCCTGATGCAGGAAGATTCCACATGCCGTAGAGCAACTAAGCCATGGGCCACAACTCCTGAGCCTGAGATCCAGAGCCTGGGCTCTGCATCAAGAGAAACCAAGCAGTGGGGAGTCTCTGTGCTGCACGATGAGTCCCCGCTCACCACGGCCAGAGAGAGCCACCGCGCAGCCAGAGACACAGCACAGCACGCCCCGCCCCTGCGCAGAACGCTGCGTAAACTAGGTAAAAAAGTCCTGGGCAGATGTAATTTATTACTAAACAGCATGGATTTTGGAAAATTTTTGTACACTCATCCTTTCATCTCACCAAATATTTATTGAGCACTTACTATGTGCAAAGCACTATACTAGGTACCAGAGATAGGTGGGAAGAAACACAGTTGAATGTCCCTGTGGCTGTGGAGCTGACATGCTGGAGGAGGTAGATCAACCATAAACAAAGGCATAAGAAAGTATCAGAGAGTGAATGGCGATCTTGAAGAAAATAAAATGGAGTCACTCATTTCAGGGCCCGAGGGGGCATTGCTAACACAGATGTCCCCACACTTGGCTCCTATCTGGAAACTGCACGAGCCAACATAAAAATATCAAAAGAAATAGCATCACTGTTCCTCCCCTGGAGAGTATGAGCACGCTCTGTCTCTGAAACATACACAAATGAAATGGGTATGTGATCTCCCAATCAGCCTTCCAAACACAAGTGGTTGAATAAAACTCGACAACACAGCTTTTAAATTTTATTATTTATTTATTTTAATACAAAGCTTTGGCATTAGCAATTTTATGAAAAAATAAAATGTACTAAAAATAAATGCTTGTGTGGCATGATTGGTAAATGATGCACAAAAATAGGTTCTTTTTTCCTTCAAGGCAATCTGTCAGAAAGCAGTGTTTTTCCTTCTTCAAAACCATTCTACCCTATGGAATAAAAGGAGAAAAAGAGAGGTCAAGAATTAGTTAAAGGGTATTTGTCAAATTTTTAAAATAGAAAGTAATTCTAACTGAATGGTGGGCTGGGTTGTCCCCAAGTATTTCTGAGAGCAGTTTGGTCAAACCAGTAAGCCATCAGCATTTCCTGAATTCAGCAGCTTCAGATCTGAGGTTAAGTGGCTCAGTCACTTAAAAGTGTGTTAGTACTTCAAAAGGAAGGCAGGGGAAAGTACAGGTTAACAGCATTTTGCTTAAAAATGTGGGGACAATTATACAATTTACAACTTTTCCTGGTTTGAACACATGTTCTAAATGCCAAAGGCCCTGAGATCTGTAGCTGCTGTCTTTAAAATATGCTCTCCCTTTATACCTCAAACAAACATGTCTTTATTTATTTTGGAATAAGATTTGAGGAGTATGGACTCCCAGGGATATAAGGCTTTCTTACAGGAACCCCTGGCTCTTATGTGTGTGTATTGCGTGTGTGTGTCTCCCTGTGAACCAGGTGGCCTGGCATCTGAAGTTTCCTGCATTCCCCTCAGGCTAATGCTGCCCCTCTGGAGCCTCTTCCTCACTCCTTCTAGAGTCTGGTTCATTGCTCTGGTTTCTGTATACCATATCTTTCTTCAGCTCTGCTCTCTTTTCTCCCTGGTGAGTTCCAGATCCACAGTCTGGATCCAAATCACTTACTCTCTGGTCATCATACAGCTCTCGAGCATTTCCTGCTTTATCTCTTCCCCATTGTCCTGACTTTCTCCTTCAGCTCTGTATTTTTCCCTAACCTACCTTCTTGCTTCCAGTCTCTACCATGCCAAAGCAATTTCTCAGTCATTACCAATTTTCTTTTTACTGAAAAGCCTCAGACATCACCTGCTGGTTACAAACAAAAACACAACAGTCCAAACTCCGCAGTCTGCCTGCTTCCACCACCACCTACAGCAGACACATCAAACCACGCAACTCCCTGAACCTGCCCTGCTTTCTCCTCCCTCTGTTTTAATGATGCCTGGCCTGGTTTCCAGGCCACGTCCTCCAGGAGGAGGAGCGGGAGCATCTCTGCGTCCGTGCGGCGCTCACGCCACACTGCCCTGGCCGCAGGCACGGCGCTGGGTACAGACCACTGAGAGCTGCAGCCCGTCGCCCCGGGGCTCCTGAGGGCAGGCCTGGCGCCTGAGGGGAGACGGTGCCTCAGGAATGGAAGGCTTCTGTGAATGAGGCGCTACACTTGTTTACTACAGTTCATATTTAATACGACACATTGTGTTTATAGTATTTCCTCAGTAGGCATAGGGGCTTTCAATGGGTGAGTCAAGATTTTTAAACTTACTTTTTTGCTTCCTTTCTAAGTAATTATGGGGCTTCCCTGGTGGTTCAGGCAGTAAGGAATCTGCCTGCAATGCGGGAGACTCAGGTTCAATCCCGGGGTGGGAAGATACCTTGGAGAAGGGAATGGCAACTCACTCTAGTATGCTTGTCTGGAGAATTCCATGGACAGAGGAGCCAGGTGGGCTACAGTCCATGGAGTTGCAAAGAGTTGGACACGACTGAATGAGTAACACATGTAAGTAATCAAAAAAAACCCGATGAAGCCAAACATTAAAGGCACGTCTGAAAAATAAAAAGACCAACAAAGACAAGACAGAAGCCCAATCAAAGGTTCTGCTGCTTTCATCTTCTTTTTTGTCACTCAGTTTTTAGAAAACCAAATCTATCTTTTTCAGCCATATCATCTGGCACCCTTAAATGGCCACCTGGAGCAGTCAAAGGAAAGCAGCGTGGAGTAAAGACTTGGAACCAGAAGTACTGGGCTGGAACCCCAGGCCCTCCCTCTGGTGGCATTCCCTGGAGGTCACTCGGCCCCTCTGGGCCTCAGGTTACTCTTTCGTGTATGTATCTCAGGCTCACTGGGGCTCAAAGGAGAACTAAATGCCAAAAGAAAGAAGAAGATTCATGGTGAGGCTGGGGACAAGTATTTGCTGACATTCCTATAAAAAAAGCTGTCTCAGGAAAATAAACAATCAGATATGTATGCCGGTGTGAGCAAGTTATTAGGTTGAGGACTTCCCAGATGGCCCAGTGGTTAAGAATCTGCCTGCCCCAAATGTAAAGTGAATCCACAACCCTGGCATCAAAGGAGTGTGGTGCTGTTGTTAGTCACTAAGTCGTGTCCAACTCCTTGCAACCCCATGGACTGCAGCACACCAGGCTTCTCTGTCCTTCACCATCTCCCAGAGTTTGCTCAAACTCATGTCCGCTGAGTTGGTGATGCCATCCAACCATCTCATCCTCTGTTGTCCCCTTCTCCTCCTGCCCTCAATCTTTCCCAGCAACAGGGTCTTTTCCAATGTAAAAAATGTAGATCTCAGGTGATGCTGGGAAGAGCAAAATAAAAGAATTAAAAAAGAAAAAAAGGATCTGCCTGCCAATGCAGGGGACATGGGTTTGATTCCCAGGCTGGGAAGATTCCATGTGCAACTAAGTCCATACACCTCAACTACTAAGTCTGTGCTCGAGAGCCTAGGAGCCACAACTACTGAAGCCTGGGCACCCTAAAGCCCATGTTCTGCAACAAGAAAAGCCACTGCAGGAAGTAGTCTGTGTACCACAGTCAGAGAGTAAGGCCCTGCCTGCTGCAACTAGAGAAAGCCTGCAGACAGTAACCAAGACCTAGCACAGTCAAGAAAATAAGAGAAGTTATTAGGTTGAGAACTAAAAACACAATTCTTCAGCTCAGTGTTTCTCAAACTGCAGGCTGCAACCTATTAATGGATCATAAAATCAACGCAGGAGTTCGTGACCCATATTAACAACAAGAATCCACAGAGAAGAAAAGATCTGTACGTAGTAAGGAAAATACTGTATGTAGTAAGGAAAACTGTGGAACTTCTGTTTCAGTCATACATGTGGGAGTACTGGGTCACAATAGAAAATGTATTACTTACAGTAGGAGATGATTTTTTAAAAGTTTTAAAAACATTGCTTGACCCTGAAGATTCTATAAAGGGCAGTCAGCTGAGCCCAGACCCCTCTCCTTGGGTTTTGATCTTTCCTAGGAAGGGATCATTTAGACAGACAATTCAAGAGGAACTCTGAGAACTAGAAGGAATCTTAGAACTTCTATCTGACTCAAGATCTGTCTCCAAACAGCTCCTGCCTTGCAGTTTCTGTCTGAATAAGCAACTCCTGGCAAGCTCATTAGCTTTAAAGACAGCTCATTTTCACTGAGGGACAATCCTTACTGGCAGGAAGTTCTTTCTTACATTAAATGGAAACCTACCTCCTGTAGATGTCTCCAGAGCTACATAGGAAGTATTACCCTCTGTAGGCACTGGTTAGTCACCATGGGACCATTCTAAGTATTAACCGGGGGCAATGTGGGTAATAAGAGTCCCACAGAGGAGTAAGATCTTGGTAGGCTCACAATAAACAGTAGCTGTTCTCACCTTTGAAAGTCCTCCAAATACTTGAGAACACCTCTTGCATCACCTCAGTCTCCTCTTTTCTAAAGGTACATATCCCCAAAGTAAGAAATGATTAAGTTTTCAGATACTTTTATACTGAAATATGTCAACGTTCCTCTTAAAGACCTTGAGCAAAACAATTCAGAAATACTGAAATACTCTTAATAGAGAGTAAAACAGAAACATCAATTCCTTTGACCTGGCCTACATATTTCTACCACTACAACTCAGAGGAGGACAGCTCAAAAAGAACACCAAAGCCCAAAGGACTTGCTGCAGAGCTAGGACTTCTTGGTCTTCAATTAGGCTACAGGATTTCAAATTTGCTTCAGTGCTTTCATCAAGTCAAGAACATCAGATTCATTTCCTCCTGCTGAGACTGTCTGAATCTTAAATGCTAGTCTATACCCCTCTGCAAATCTCAGAACATGATTTCTATGCGTCAGAATTCAGGAACTAAGAAAGGGCTGTAGAGAATACTTAGCTGAACCACCCAGTCAACTCAAAATCTCTCCTACATCATCCACGTATCTTATAACTTATTCCTCAAATAAAAACATTTCAAATAAATATTTACTTTTCTTATACTGAGGGAAAAATAGATTTATGCAAACGTAAGCTGGTAAACATTGAGATTAACATACTTTGGGAATTGAAGTTCAATATAACTTGTTCAGTCGCTCAGTTGTGTCTGACTTTTGTGACCCATGGACTGCAGCATGGCAGGCTTCCCTGTCCTTCACTATCTCCTGGAGCTTGATCAAACTCATATCCACTGAGAAGATGATGCCATCCAACCATCTCATCCTGTCCCCTCCTCCTCCTGTCCTCAGTCTTCCTAGCATCAGGATCTCTTCCAATGAATTTGTTCTTCGTATCAGGTGATCAAAGTATTTGAGCTTTAGCTTCAGCATCAGTCCTTCCAGTACATATTCAGGGTTGATTTCCTTTAAGATTGACTGGTTTGATCTCCTTGCAATCCAAGGGACTCTCAAGACTCTTCTCCAGCATCACAGTTCGAAAGCATAAATTCTTTGGTGCTTAGCCTTCATGGTTCAACTCTCACATCTGTACATAACTATTGGAAAAACCATAGCTTTGACTATATGGGACCTTTGTTGGCAAAGTGATGTATGCTTTTAATATGCTGTCTAGGTTTGTCATAGCTTTCCTTCCAAGTAGCAAGCATTTTTTAATTTCACAGCTGCAGTCACTGTCTCCAGGTGATTTTGGAGCCAAAGAAAATGAAATCTGTCACTGTTTTCAATTTTTCCCTATTTGCCATGAAGTGATGGGACCAGACGCCATAGTCTTAGATTTTTTAATGTTGAGTTTTAAGCTAGTTTTTTCACTTTCCTCTTTCACCTTCATCAAGAGGCTCTTTAGTTCCTCTTTGCTTTCTGCCATTAGAGTGGTTATCATCTGCATATCTGAGGCTGCTGATACTTCTCCCAGAAATCTTGATTCCAGCTTGTGATTCATCCAGCCCGGCATTTCCCAAGATGTACTCTGCATAGAAGTAAAATAAGCAGGGTGACAATATACAGCCTTCATGTACTCCTTTCCCAATTTGAATCAGTTCATCGTTTCATGTCTGGTTCTAACTGTTGCTTCTTGACCTGCACACAGGTTTCTCAGGAGGCAGGTAAGGTCTGGTATTCCCATCTCTTTTTAAGAATTTTCCACTGTTTGTTGTGATCCACACAGTCAAAAGGCTTCAGTGTAGTCAATGAAGCATAAGTTTTTCTGTAATTCCCTTGCTTTTTCTATGATCCAATGGATGTTTGGCAATTTGATCTCTGGTTCCTTTGCCTTTTCTAAATCCAACTTGTACATCTTCAATTTCTTGGTTCATGTACTGTTGAAGTCTATCTTGAAGGATTTTGAGCTTGCTAGCATGTGAAATGAGTGCAACTGTGCAGTAGTCTGAACATTCTTTGGCATTGTCTTTCTTTGGGATTGAAATGAAAACTGACCCTTTCCAGTCCTGTCACCACAGCTGAGTTTTCCAAATTTGCTAGCATATTGACTGTAGCACTTTAATAACATCATCTTTTAGGATTTGAAGTAGCTTAGCTGGAATTCCAACATCTCCAATTAGCTTTGTTTTTAGTGACGCCTTCCTAAGGCCCACTCGACTTCATACCCCACAGTGTCTGGCTCTAGGTGAGTAATCACACCACCATGGTCATCTGGGTCATGAAGATCTTTTTTGTATAGTTCTTCTGTATATTCCTGCCACTTTGTCTTAGTTATCTTCTGCTTCTGTTAGGTTTATACCATTTGTGTTCTGTACCGTGTCCATCTCTGCATGAAATATTCCTTTGGTATCTCTAATTTTCTTGAAGAGATCTCTAGTCTTTCCCATTCTATTGCTTTCCTCTATTCTTTGCATTGTTCACTTAAGATAGCTTTCTTATCTCTTCCTGCTCTTCTTTGGAACTCTGCATTCAAATGGGTATATCCTTCCTTGTCTCCCTTGCCTTTCACTTCTCTTCTTTTCTCAGGTATTTGTAAGGCCTCCTCAGAGCCTTACTTAGGCACAACAAATGTTTGGGAGGCTAATATATAAAAATACATTTACCATGCATTTATTTGCTTCTTTGACTACTATCCTATTTATGGATATGTTTAGAAGTTTCAAGTTTCAAAATTCACTAGATCTGTTTATCGTATTAAAAAAGTAAAGCACAATTAGTCATGATTGAGTACTTATATAGTATATCATCACAACAGAAGGTGGTGATCCCAGATACATGGACTTTTGATTAACTTAAGTAACTAGCGTCAAGCCCTGTGTGAACATGCAGAGTGTGGTGAGGGAGGCAGAGTGCTTTCAACCCCAGGTAAGCAGCAATCCATGACCCATGGAGGCCTGGACCTGCCTGGGCTCCACAGCCCTGCTTTTGTATCTGGCCACAGATCTTGCTCACTGCTTAATCTTGCTCACAGGGTCTCACCAGTGGCTAGACTGGGTCAAAATCTAACTGACATCACAGTACACAAGTTCAGTGTACCACTGTCAGAAAAGTAAACTATAATAGTAGGTAGAAGGTATAAGGTGGAATTTACTAGTAATATCCAGACAAATCATTAACATGTGAAAAGACAGAATCTACTCATATAGAAGACCATCTTAGAAATGGATGAGGGTACCCAGAAAAAGACAATCTTACTTTGACTGCGATTTTTGGTAAAAATGAAAAGGGAAATAAGACATTTCAAAGAATTAATGAAGAATAATTATAAATTTATTTGCTAAAATAAACTTTTCAGAATTAAAATTACATAGGAATTTTTCATCAATATTCTTGACAAGGAGACATTGAATAAGAGTGGGTATTTATTTATTTATGTTTTGCTGCACTGCATGGCTTGTAGAATCTTGGTTTCCAGACAAGGGATCAAACCCAGGCCCCCGACAGTGGAAGTGTGGGGTCCTAACCACTGGACTGCTGGGGAATTCCCAACCATTATCTTTTTTTTTCAATCCCCTAGAATTAAAATGGACTTTAAAAAATTAAGTACTGTTACAAAAAGTCAACACATAAAAGCATATGAGAGAAAACATCATCTAAAATTTTTCTAAATTAAGAAAATCACCATTAATAATTTGGTCACCATCCTTTTATCCATCCGTATGTACACACACACACACACAGACACACTCTCTCTCTCTCTCTCAACTTCTCTAAATGGAATTATGGAAACTGTCATTTAGAGTGGCTCTGACTAAGACATAGAAATAACAGTCAAGAGAATAACTGTGCTCACAGCCCTCTACAAAGGCTACTGGGAGAAGGGACGGACTAAGACATGGATCTAAGACCTATGACTCAGCTTCGGAGTCATGCATGCATTTATGAATGGAACTCTAACTTACAACAGGTAACATGTCTTCTGAACATTCTCTAAAACATGAACTGAGCACCTGGCCAATTCTGAGTGGCAGCAAGGTGACTCTTAAATTACTTAACAATTCCCTAAAAATGCCCAGTGTGCAGCTACTTGCTGTGATTGGTTTTTGCTCATTTGTGAAATTTTAAGAAGTAGGTTTACATTATCATCTTGTCTGATGGGTTTGTATGGGAGTAAGCAAAAGAGGTAACTTCAGGAGAAATAAATATTTCCCTCCAAACTGAGGTTTGATTACAGGCACTCGTGAGCTCTTATGATTCTGTATTCTATTTCATGGAAGAAAATTAAATTCATTTGCCAAATGATAAAGACAGATGGCCATCTTATTCATAGAACTTTGAAAGAATCTCAGAGGAATTGTTTTGGCTAACATTTATTGAGCACTTATTATGTACGAGGCACTGTGCTAAGCACTTTATATGCTAATTCTTAGAACAACCCTATGATGTACTTCTACCATTATTCTTGTTTAATGGATGACTAAAATGAACTTCAGATAAATATTATCTAGGTCTCACAAGAAAAATATGGAGGAGCAGGTAGTCATATCCAGGTATGTGTGACTCTAGAGTCTGAGCTATTAACACTGTGCTAGGTTGAAGTAAAACTGCATCAGGTGGGCCCAATAGAAGCAGCTAGCTGGTGACCTACTGGATGAGGTTGAGACTACTCATCTCAAGACTGAAGACTGCCAAGTGACCATGACGTCCTCTCAATATGTAATATGTAAAGGACGGCAAAGGGTACTTCTTGTAAGTATCTAGCCAAAAGATCGGGTTAGGGGGAATAAAATCATGCCATTGGAAATGAAAGTTTCTTGCCCATTGTTTCTATAGTTGGACTATGAGCATTTAATTAAATCAATTACATGAGCTTGGTTGGTTGTTACTAATCAACTAAAGTGCCAGGACATAACAGAAAACAGAGAGCACAGGAACTCCACCAATTCAAGTTCAAGTTTCAGCAGTGTTCCAGGGATGCTTTCGTCTTGAATTAGTTTTCATGAATATTGCTTAAAAGAAAGGACTGAATAACATCCTAAAGTAAATGCCCCAAGTTTAATGCATAACAAATAAAGCCGCCCCCATGGAGACAAGCTATCCCCATGGAAGGCTACTTCTGGAAAACCACTGGATAAAACTGAACCTCAACAGTCATCCAGCCCAAATTTTCCATCCAACAGCTCTAACAAGTAAAACGCAGCTTCTGCCTGCACTCCTGGTCCAGGGCACTCCCAACCCCCACAGCAAACCGTCTCACTGGTAAGTAGCCTGCTGACAGATGTTCTTCCTTTTACCAAGGTGAAATTTTGCCTATCTGTAACCTGGTCTTCATTTTGTCCTATGAAAATACAGTCTATGCTTATATTTTTCTTTCCTGATCATCTTTCAAATATTTAGAAGTCACAGGTCTTTCTGATTGCTTCTTTCTTGCAGGTTAAATATCCATGTTCCTGTGACCATAGGCCAGGGTGCCAGTTCTCCACCAAAAGCTAAGTAGATAAATCTCCAGGTAAAGTTTGATGAGAAAGCAGCAAAGTGGGGCTAATCCCATCAGTGATCAGGACGTGGTGATTCTCTACATACTACAACTGTACTGGTTTCCTCGGCATTTGTTCCGTCGCCTACTTACTCTAACCTTGTGGCTGATGAAAGCCCCTAGATCTTTTCTAAAGTGAACACAGTGAACTCCCAGTCAGTGTTACTGTTTGTGATCCCATCAGGCTCAGTATGAAATTGGTGGAAGCCAATTCTCATGATCTTTATGAAAATGACATATTTTCTTGGGATCATTTGGCACATGCAATCCAAAAAACAATTTGTTACTTACTCATTAGCATTCAAGCTAGCTGTGGCTCTGATGATCATGTAGCAGAGTGTGAGAGCACTGAGGAGGCCAAAACTGGCAATAATAAACCATTCTTCTGTTGACAAAGGAAAGGGAGGAAATCACTCTGGGGAGAAGACTTAAGTCAAATCGATGTCAACATTTCCCTCAAATGCAACGAAGCAGACGTCAACGAAGGTGTAAGCCAAGACTGGCACAAGGAAGTGAAGCAGGAGGAGGTTTGCCAGAGAGCTACTAAGTGGAGAAGGTTAGTGGGAGTAGTGGTGAAAGCTGCAAGGCAGAAAGGAAAGCATGGCCCAAACATTTCTTCCAGTTAAGGTCCTGAGGTCTGTGAGAGGTGTGGCACCAAAAAGTGTGCAGTAAAATATGTATATAAAATGGCACATGGACACAGGTTTTAAAACTGGTAAATGACAGTAAAGTGGACTAGCCATACTTATAACCTTTTTTTCTTCATCTGTCACTTCTGCATGGCTGTGTCACTCATTCCTAAAGAAAGGCTTAGAAATATGGAGCAGTGGTCCCCAAAGGTCTCCTGGGTACTCCAAGCAGTTCGCAGGCTGGCTTCCATGGCATTCTCATCTATGTTCTTTTTGTCTATGAGTGGGTTTACTTAAGAGTCTTTTTTAAAAAGGACATCTTATTGGTGTCTCCTGCAAAGAAGAGGACTACCCTTCACAACTCCACCACTAAGAAGCAGCACTGGCTGTTAAGGCTTTATTAAGCAGAAGTAGAAAGGGAAAGTTATTCACAAGATACTTGGCCCATCAAAGAGATGAAAGCTTATGGTACACAGAACTCTAAAGGTTTTTTTTTAATCTAGTCTCTTTCTAGATCTAGGAAATCAGTTAATATTTCCCCTTGATTTTTCAAACTCTGTATCATCAAGGTAATATTTCAAAAATAGTATTTACTGAGAACCATAAAAACAACCTGAGAATCAATCTGACTTCCTAAAAAGTTTTAACTATAAAATATTCCCTAAAGTATACACAAACTCGGACTGGTTTAACAAAGTTTTACACAGTAAAATTCCCTGTACATGTGCATTTATGCAGAGAGAAGAAATTTATACTTGGAACGCCAAATGTTTATATGCGAAAGCTATGTGTAACATGGGTGTTTCTAATCTGCTTTCCAGGGATCCTACAGCTATGCAACACTGGGTGCGCCCACTAATTCTTCTAGAAAAAGGTTATTATACTTTCATCGAATTTTAAAGGTGGTGATCTTCAAAAGGTTAAGAAGAACTGTTCTTCAGGATTCCAGGATGCTGAGTTGTTCTATAAACATTTCTCTGCCCATCTTGGTTTACATTATTAAAATGCACAGCAAGCTCTTTCTTTTTAGATAACAGTGCAGCCGCTGCTTCTTGGAATACAAATTCTTCATCAACAGAGTGAATTTATTAGGTTTTTCTTTAAGTCAAAATAATAAACATTCAGGAACCCATGTAAAATCCACCATTTTTAACCCCATATATTTTAAGTTAGGAAAAATGTATACTGGCATTTAAAAAAGATTAAGAGATGCTGGTCATCAATTTCAAGAAGCTTAATATAGCATTTTAAATTTTTTTCTTCTTAAGACTTTTTTATACATGATAAGCAGACTAACTTCACTTATGTCTATGTTTCCAATTTTGAACAAAGCATCCAGACATGCATGGCATTTCAGTTATAAAAATCGGCAACCAAAAAGAAGTCAACACCATCACCGTAACGCCCGACGGGCCCAGAGGCATCTCGGCACCGATGCACGAGGCCAGGCCCGGCCGCCTCTGTCCTCCCCAGTGAGTGTTTAGCACAGTGCCCTGCAAACTGGATGCTGGCTGAGTGCGCTGCAGTTACTACGGCGCTACAGAGCTTTGAGCTGAAAGGAGAGGCAGCTTTGGTCTCATTTAACCACATGAATTTCACTTTAGCATGTACAAATTTGCTAAAGGTGATTAATTTGACACATGAAGTAATATTTTTTATCATCAAAATATAAGATTTTGAAAGGATACTTCTATATAAAATATAATGGGATAATTACTTAATGTAGTAGTAGGTGCTCAATAAATGTTGATCAATGAAAGACCTACCAATAACTCATTAATAAACAGGCAACCTTGTCTCTTTTGTTATTATTACATCATTAAAAAAAAATCTAGCCCATAAAACCTAAATGTCAAAGCAGGAAAACATGAAATGCTGTTAAAACAAAACACTGGGAAATGGTAAGAAATTAGCCAAAATGTATCAAAGAATAGCTTTACTGATTCTATAACTTAATGAACTCTCCTTGAGTTTAAACAAATGAGAATAAAACATGCAAAATCATTTTCTAACAATTTTTGGTTGGTTTAAAAACATGTATAAATCAATTGAATAGACCACACAAGTCTTACTACTTAAGGGAAAAGCCTTTTTGTAATAGTTTTATCCATTTTACTGACTCCCAGAAGTTGAGAGGAGTCCCATTAGGGTTAGGGCTTGAAGCTATAGGCAAGCACAGCATATACTGAAAAAGGCAGCACCAGAGTGGTGATGAGGAAGATGGGGTGAAAGGTTGTTAGAAGAGAATAACACATAAAGAATGGACTGAAAACAGCTGGCTTGTTACAGGGTGAATGTCCACTCACACGCCTGCCAGCCCACTCATACTTTGGTAAGGCCATCAAAACATTCAGAGCATTTTTTTTGTTTCTTGTCAACATTTCAACAATCATGACATTCATAACTAGCCCAGAACACTTTTAAAAAGTAGATTATCTTATGGCTTTTCTCACACCTCTTGTACAATTATACCAAGACACCAAATTTCATAAAAGTGTAAAATACAGCGAGTGGCAACTGGCTATTTCAACTGTTCCTAAAGTTGTGAATTTTAGGTTCAAATTCTGGATGAGTGTTTCATTAAGTTCCCTGCAGCACAGGAACTAGAGAGCACTGGTGCTCAGTTACACAACACGCCTGCGACGCTGCAGACGTCACACCTCACATCCCTGTGTGCAACACCGTCATTTCAAAACAGGCTGATACGCAGCTGTTAGGACAGAGCCCCGATCAACTGCTCACCCAGTGGCGACTATGACCATTAGTTACACACAGATACACAAGTTTCTATTAGAAAGGGAGTTTCATGATTACAAATATCTGTTTTAACAAAAGCACCCATGACGTTCTCATTTACAGACTTAAGTCACTGGCCCCGGTGACCAATGGCCTCAACTCTTCACCACACGTCAAATACCAGCAGCAAGCCAGTCCCGCACCCTGGGCACAGGGCCCACTTACTTGTTACTGCGATGTTGATCTCTCCTGTTCGAGGAGTGAGCTCGCCATCCTGAGGAAGAGGCGAGATCCCCGAGGTGCGAAGTGGCTCGAGGCCCAGGGAGTTGTCACTGGCAAGCTCACCCAGGGCCGATCTTCGGTTAACTGCTTGGGTTCTGGTGAGCCTTTCCATATCAAATGCTACATTATCAGTACACGGTAAATTTGGCTGCAAAATATTTCCAGGTTAAAAGTGCTTGTAATATTAACAGATCCTTTATCAAATTCTAAATGCTTGACATCCTGTTGCAAAGATTTTACCAGTTTTCTCCATGTGATTTCCTCTCATTTCTCTCCCCATTTACACTTTCCATTCTCGTTCAAGAGTTTTTATTTAAAAGAAACTGGTGATTTCTTCCCCAAAATGATAAAAGGAAAGCCAAAATCCACTGTAGAACTGAGAAAATTGGATACTTCATCTTTATAAAGGACAACGTTTTGGGAACATGGCTCACAGGCAAAGAGATTCATTATTATTATTATTATAAACTTGACAATCAGTGCAGTGTATCACTTTGGTGCATGTGTTAACACAGATAACATGAAATATCCCTTTTTCCCTATTAACTGTTCTGTAACACCTCATCTATTTGCTAGTCAGGTTTTAAATAAATTTCACCTTTAAAACATAAAGAAAGCATACCACCAAGAGTAGATCTACATTGATAAGTCTTGTGAACTCTAAAAACCTGTTTCACAATGTAAGCACCTAATGCTGAGGGAGAGGAGCAGAGTGCTGTGGGGCTAAAGGCTACTATCATCCCCTAACTAGTGGACGTGGAAGGCCAGGGTGCCGCCAGACAGTCTCAAGGGTGGCCCTCACCAGAAGGGAGTATCTAGGCCAGTGTCAAGTGTTAAGAGGTAAAGAAACTATAAATCACTGACATGATCTTTGAAGATGGGAGGATAAATGGGGCACTACTACCTAACTGGATTGCTTCTAAAATGTCATCTGATAGCATATTTTAAATAGGATTATTCAGATCTGCAAAGCTAAAATGAGGAATTCATCTGTTGGGTCAACATAAACTTTCTTCTCTATATGGAAATTATTCAACGACTCTTTTTTGAGATCAGAAAGTATCTCACTTTCCTCTAAAAGGCAATAATCCTGGACATATATTGATATTTCTTTTAAGCAAAGAACTCCAAGGTCCTCAGGTTGTCAACGCTGGCTCACCTGGCTATGGCTGAAGTGCTCTATGTGGCTGGTACCCAACCAAAGCCCCTACCCAGCTGTCAGAGATCAGCTTGGGGCTGGCACTGCCCACCCTCACTGACCTCACCCTCAATTACCAACATCCAGGAGAGCAAAGCCAAATTCAAGAGGAAGAAACATAAGTAATGACATGGTTTAATATCACGTTGAATGCAGAAAAAATTACTACTGGACTAGACTTAAAAATCCACATTCTCCTCCTTTAAAGAAAAAAAAGATATTGAAATATAGGAAAATCACATCCTTCTTTCTACCTTAGTTCTTCGTCACACACCTACCACCCAACAGAAGCATGCTTTAAAGCAGACTAGCACAGTTCTTCAGCTGCTCTTCCATAAGTTCTCTGATGTGGGCTGGACTTTAATGTGGAAGAAAATGTAGTATTGGACCAACAAGACTATCTGGCAGAGAAAGCCTATGTTATGTTATGCTGAGATGTAAAATGACACAGAAGTATTAACAAAATAGGAAACATACCACAATGCCCAGGGCCTTCAAAATATTAAGTTTGCACATAGGACAGGTACAATGTTCACTAAGCCAGGGATCCACGCAGGATTTGTGGAAAACATGCCTATAAAAAATTGGAGAATTATATCACAAATTATATCCTGAAAAACTCTTAGGCCAAAATGCAAAGAAATGAAATTTTTAGTTAGCCTGTTTGGTCCCGAGAGACAAATACTGGGGATGTATTAAAACAGAGCTGGCAGAAAATCTAAACCCAATCTTATATGTTAATAGCACCGTATAATGAAAACTGATAAGCAGTATTTGGTTGGTTGGTTGTATTCCACCAAATTCCAAATAAAGATTTGAGGAAAAGTAGGAAATTTACTAAGAATGAAGATAACTGTATCTTATAAATCAGTTGTTTTCAATAATATCCAAAGCAGAAAAAAAGAATTTCAAAAAATATTAACCAGAAGTTAAATGTTAACCAGGAGTTAAACTCTATATAATTAGTTTCATGAACTTCTGTTTAAATGCTGTTTAAAACATTATTTAAAAAGAGTTCTTGTAAAACAGAGAGACAGGGAGCCCAGACTGGCACTCTGTGAGTACCTAGATGGGTGGGAAGGGGGAGAGGAGGGAGGCTCAAGAGGGGGTGATGTATGTATGATTACAGTTGATTTACGTGGTTGTACAGCAGAAACCAACACAACATTGTAAAGCAATTTTCCTTCAATTAAAAAAAATAAACCCAAGGTAAAAACAATAAGTAAATGAAATGTAAAAAAAAAAAGACCTTTAAGCAACCCAAGTTAAATGCTTGTAAAGTTACAGGGTAGTTGGGACTATTTTTAGGGATGAGCTGTGCTTAGGAATCAGATAACATTTAACCAGCAGTTTTTAGCTAAAATGTTGAAGGGAGAGAGGATGGGTGATTTTGAGTCCAGAGAGTGGAGCGCCACATCCTTGTGACTGGAAATAAGTCATGGAGGGCTTTGCATTCTTGAAGAAGGTGCATGCGCCCTGTGGAAAGGACGAACGACAGTGAGGGCGCTCTTGAAATCATTCCTCACGCTCATGTGCCTCCCTGTGGTGGCTCTGAGAGCCTGAAATGAGGCCACAAGGAAGCCCCGTAGTCCTGGCCAGGGGGCAGGGGCAGAGGCAGGAGCCAGGACAGGCGATCCGGGCACCATTATCCAATCACAGTCTCGGGATAAGACAAAAGAAATTTTGAGAAAGATACCAAATTGAACCATCATATGCTTTTTAAATGTTGTTAATTTGTCATTTATATATTAGCTTATAAGTAGTTACATATACCTTTTCAAAATATATATACCTGTTTAAAAAAGTAAGAGATTTAGAAAACTCACTGTTTTAATTGGGATTTGGAAGAAACATTCATGCTTACAGTTTCAACCCAAATAACCGATCATCACTCAGTAGCCTTGTACCCATTTTTTGGGGTTAAGAATCAAGATGTGTGTGCATGCTCAGTCGCGTCTGACTCTGCCCACATCTCCTGCATGACAGGTGGATTCTTTATCCATTTAGTCACCCGAGAAGCCCAAGAATCAAGATATTGGCAACTAAATGGTGGTCCTAGTAGTAAAGGACCCGCCTGCCAGTGCAGAAAACATAAGAGATGCGAGTTCGATTCCTGGGTTGCGACTATCCCCTGGAGGAGGGCTTGGCAACCCACTCCAGTATTCTTGCCTGAAGAATCCCATGGAGAGAAGAGCCTGGCAGGCTACAGTCCATAGGGTCACAAACAGTTAGACACGACTGAAGTGACTTTGTACACACAATCTGAAACTTACAGATAATGCAATGAATCAGAACCTCATCATCCCTGAAGGTTTTCACTTAAGGGGTGAAAGTCATCAAACCATAGACAAGACCTAAATTCATTTAGTATACATAACACATTGTCACATCTGTTTACTGTTCCTTGCATCTGAAGTGTACTCTGAAAGGGAGATAAAGGCTTGCCCCAGAATTCCACTGAGAGGGTATTCTCAGAGGTGGGGGTTATTCCCCAGCAGCTGTGAACGGTGCTGGCTGTGGCCTAAGGAAGATAAGAACAAGGCCTCTATTGCTTTTTCAGATATAGACCCCTTTAGGTTTGACATAAATGACAGCTCCTCCTCACTGCAAGGGTACATGCATCTGCCTTTATTTGGCGTATGTTTGGCAAATGTCTCTGGGAGGGCTATGGACCAGGGAGGGTTTGGTCAGTGTTGGTAGAGATGGGGGGCTGGGAAGGTGCTCTCAGGCAGTTCGATGCAGTGTGGACAGTGAGTGAACTTTGGCCACTTGGCAGGTGACAGAGAGAGAAGGGTATGTGACCTCTGGTGCAGCTGCTCTGGAGCTGGGGAGCTGACTTGAACCAGTTGTCTGTGGAAATCCTGGTTTAAGCCAGCAGTGCTGGCTTTTACCTTCCCTTCTTACCAGCATTTCTGCTTTCCCCTTTTCTTATTATCTAGCTTTTCTTTACTATTAGCAGTTATTTGGAATGAGCAAAATAGTTTAATCCCGTATTTAATTTTTAAAGCTGTTTAAATTGAGTGTTCTCTGTCCCTTTAACCTTAGTTATAAATGGATTTCTCTTATGTCAGGGTCCTTAAGTGTTCCCTTGTAGGTTTGCTGATCCAAAAGAAAGTGTTTGGGTCCCTGTGGAGCACTGTAATGAAGGAAAACAAAGACCAACTGTTCCCTAGGGACAAGCTGGGAAAGAAAGCCTCTCTTCCTTCAGTTCAGTTCAGTCGCTCAGTTGTGTTTGACTCTTTGTGACCCCATGAATCGCAGCACGCCAGGCCTCCCTGTCCAACACAAACTCCTGGAGTTTACTCAAACTCATGCCCATCGAGTCGGTGATGCCATCCAGCCATCTCATCCTCTGTCGTCCCCTTCTCCTCCTGCCCCCAATCCCTCCCAGCATCAGGGTCTTTTCCAATGAGTCANTGATGTACTCTGCATATAGGTTAAATAAGCAGGGTGACATAATACAGCCTTAATGTACTCCTTTCCCAATTTGCAACCAGTCTGTTGTTCCATGTCCAGTTCTAACTGTTGCTTCTTGACCTGCATACAGATTTCTCAGGAGGCAGGTAAGGTGGTCTGGTATTCCCATCTCTTTAGAATTTTCCACAGTGTGTTGTGATCCACACAGTCAAAGGCTTTGGTGTAGTCAGTAAAGCAGAAATAGATGTTTTTCTGGAACTCTCTTGCTTTTTCGATGTCCAGCAGATATTGGCAATTTAATCTCTGGTTCCTCTGCCTTTTCTAAAACCAGCTTGAATATCTGGAAGTTCTCGGTTCATGTATTGCTGAAGCCTGTCTCTTCCTTAGCTAATTCAAAATCAGAAAGTTTTTGTTTTTTTTCCCATAAAAATCGCTTTTCCTTTAGGTGATCTGCCCACCCTATGGCTTTCCCAGCCTCAGTCCCCACCCCAGCCAGCAAGCTGCCCCTCCCTCCCTCCCATACTTCTTCCTCCAGCCACACTCTTTTCAGGATTTCAACAGTCTAGCTCTACACCCGGCCCAGAAAACAGTCTAATTCCCACAGCACACCTCTCCCTCTTCACCTGCTGGCCCTTCTGACACAAGCCCGTCACTCTGACTCGGGCCACTGACAGCTGTGGAGAGGAGCTGCCCTGAATGCGCGGCTTCTCTTCTTCATCACCTGTTTTCTTTACCTCTTGTTTCTGTCTCCTCGGGTCTACTGTTTTACCAAACTCCACATGGCCTTCCCTGCTCCTACAACAGCCTGCGCCGCGACAAACAGTCCTTTCTGACTACCAGCCATCTGATCTGAGCGCTGTGGGGGAGAAGAACAGAGGGGAAGGCTGCCTGCCGTCTGCCTTGTGAGGCTGTTTGCAGCAGTAACTGAAAAACTCAGAAAAGGCTCCAAGGATATGCAAATAAAAGGTATTATTAAACACATAACTAGACAAAGTAATGTCAATACTTCATACAACTCCTGCGGCACGGTCAGAACACTTCAGCATGCTGAAGTGAAGACTTCAGGTCTCCACACGCCCGCACCAGAGTGACCTCTCACAGGCTTGCAGATAATGAAAGGCATCCACAGACACTTCAGAGGGGCACGTGGGGCCAGTAAGACTTGGAAAAGAACCCCTTCCCACTGTTCTAAAAAGACCCGAATAATAAAAATGCACATAAACACAGAAAAGGGCCCGACATACTTAGGGCTGAGCGGTGTGCAGGGACGAAGGCGGGCGATGTGTTCAGGGAAGGCGAGGCGTGCAAAGGACAAGTGCGTCAGAGCCTCAGAGAAGCCCTTTATTCCTGTTAGGAAGACTCCGGACACAGAAATGCTGGGGGACATGCAGAAGTATAGGACACAGAAGGGAATAGAACCAGTGCCACTGACACAGTGCCTTCCACTGCCCCACTTCCCAGCGCACTCAGCTAGAGCGACCGGGACGGTGGCCGGGGGTGACCGAGGCGTCTACACCGAGGGCGAGGTGTCTCCACAGCCCTGCAGCGTCTCGGTGCCGTGCAAGACCCGGCAAGTGTAAAAGGATCCAGGACCACGGAAGCTCAGAGACAAGAACTCTTTTCCCCGAATGGGGACTGGCAGCAGGCACTGTCTTAAATAGGCTTTCCCTCTGAGGAGGGGGCATCAGAGTGGTGCCTCTGCCAGCCGCCAGGCGACTGACCCACTTTAGCTTCCAAGGTGGCATCTTAGACATACAATGATCCGAGCTGCAGCACTCTACTTCTGAAAAGTGTTTTTAACCACTAAAAATTTTGTGGCTGACCTTTAAATAGAAGAGGTGCAAAACAGGGAGCGTTTTCCAGTCTCTAAGATGTGTTGGCTAACATCCAGAGGACGGCTGACTGTAATCAGCTGACACAAGCCGGAGGTCCCAGTGCGGTGCTGACTGCCATCTGGTCTCAGCAAATTAACATGACAGAAGGTCAAGAGTGAAGGCCATGCGGCAAGAAGCCAGCAATCCACGAGAGGTCTGCTATCTGCACAAAGCCTCAGTTCAGTCTTGGGGCAGCTACGTTAAAAGGAAGGACAAACAGACATAAAGGCACCTGTACTCTCTCCCTGCTTTACTCAGGGGAAGAAGAGACCGTGAGTGCAGATGCTTTTCAGAACCTGGCTGTAAAGGGGAGAATCTGTAGGGTGGTACAGCTTCGGAGAGGGGTTTGAAAGAGAGTTATAAAAACTGGATAGGAAATGCTTGAGCATGACGAAATGCTGGTGGGCAGAGACAGAAAGGACAAGAACTGGAGGGAACAAATAGTCAATAGAGCCCGGTCTCAAGGATGAGAAGGTGCCGGCACACAGAGGCCCAGGTTGAAAAGCACATTAGAACCAAGGAGGCTGTCCTCTGTCCTGACAGGAAGCAAGGCTGCAAGGGTGGGTGTGGAGGCAGGTGTGCGTGAAGGCTTAGGATCAGTAAGCCAGGAGAATTTCAACTAACAGCTACTGTTTTCTGTGAAGACAATGGTGAAGTTATCTGATAAGAGTGAGGAATAAAGGGATGAGTGCGGATGTTTAAGGAGAAGAGATACCTCTGGATGTGCTGCTTGAGGAGAAGGGAGAAATGACCAGGGAAAAAGAGGGGCTCTGGGCAGTGCTCCAGGCCCAGCTAGCCTTCCAGGCACCAGAGCTGTCCGGCAACCAGACCTAAAGGAAGACAGAGCCGAGTCACACATCACGTCCGTTTCAATGACCCGCAGGCTACAGAGGGAAGGCAGAGTATCTGAGGGAGAGAGCACAGAGCAAGTGGCACACAAGAGTTGTTAACTCAAAGGAACTCAAGAGGGACCCACGGGAAAACAGAGGCTTAGGGAAGACGTGGAGTAAAGATGAGTATTTGTGCGGAGCCATTCTCTAGGCCAGGCGTCCTCACCGGGAGGCATCTGTGGCTGTCAGTGGCCACGTGTGGGGGGTGTTAGTGGCACCCAGGGAGTGGAGCCAAAGATACTGCTAAGAACTCGCAACGCAGGGGGAGCCCCTCAAACCTGCCCAGCAGAGAAATGTCTGGTCCCAAATGTCAGCAGTGCCCAGGCGGAATGACCTTGCTCGAGGTAAAGAACTGTCGACTTGGGTCACACAGAACGTTGCTTGATTGTAAAGTTAGTTTTTACTGCCCCTCAGAATCATGCTGTTGGCACCATCTCAGTTAGACGAACTGTTTTGCTGAGCAGGCCACGCAACACAGAGAAAGCTACAACTCGCTTCAAAGTAAAAGGGGAGCATCATCTAGACAAGGATCTAGGAATAAAAGACAACCACGTGAGCAGTGTCCTAATTACAGGTGCAAAAAAACGCTGTGTGTCAAATTCTAATACTCGAAAGCAGACAACAAATACAAAGGTTGAGATCCCCTCCACTGGTGGTAGGTCAAATTCTAAGAAATTTCTAAGATCAAGAACAGCTCTAGACTTCAACAGATGGCGTGGCCTTGCAGCATCAGAGTCACCCCTGGTACTTAATAAAAACAAACAAGCCTGGAGCTCCCCTCAGCATATATTTCTGAAAGTTCCCCATTGATTCTGACCTTTGGAAGGAAAAAAGAGAACTAGGAATGAAACTCTAGAAAAGCCAATTCTTGAAGGACAGAAAGAATATGGAACAAATTTCCCAGCACAATCTAGTTTCAGCTGAGGCTCCCCTGAGGCAAACACTGTCACCTTACCAATTACCATTAACAGCTTTGGAAGCCTTCATTCTTAGGTCCCAGACAGTCCTAGGGGCCCCTGGACTAAGAGAGGAAGACAGAGAATCTGCAAAGACTTGGCTTCTTCCTGGTTATTCCAGTTTCAAAAGAAATCTGTGCGGGTAAGAACAGGTTTTAAAAGCAAGTAAGAGCTGATTATGCTTTATAAAGTATCCTACTACTGTTTCCCCTGATTTGTATAGCTGATCCTTGAACAAATGTGGAGAGGCAGTGGTTAGGGGTGCTGACACCCACTGAAGTTGAAAATCCACATATAACCTTACAAGCAGCCCTCTGTATTCGTGGGCTTCCCCGCTGGCTCAGCTGGTAAAGAATATGTCTTCAACGCAGGAAACCCAGGTTCGATCCCCGGGTTGGGAAGGTCCCCTGGAGAAGGGAACGGCTGCCCACCCCTGCGAAACCCGAGAGAGGAGCCTGGCGGGCTACAGGTCACGGGGCTGCGGAGCCACACGCGGCTGAGCGACTACACTTCCACTTTCCTGTTCCTCTGTTCGTGGTTCTGCAGGTCCAGCCACCAGCTGGTCACCGACTGCTGCGGTATTCACGTATTCACTACTGAAATGAGTCAGCTGGTGCGATTCAAACCTGTTGTACAGGGGCCAACTGTGTGTGTGTGTGCATTGCCTTTAGCTTCATGTTTTTAGACCTGAAAACTGTAATTAGATAATTTAATTTCCTACAGGACAGCTGTTTTACAGAGTTCCTTTAATATGTAAACTAAATGACGTGACTTCCAGAATCCTGGTTTTCCATTTCAATATATGGAATTATTCACAAGTTATGATTTAAAGAAACCCAGATCTCTCTGGATTCAAAATTTATAACTTTGTGAATAAGTAAACTAACATCAGTAGCCTCATGGAGACAACTACTACTGATTATTTTATTCATTCATGTGTTCCATATTATTAGAAGGTAAGAGTTACATGAATGAGTTTTAAATGAGAAGAGGAGAGGCTTTTGATTTTAGGCTTCTCGGTAGATGACTTCATATTTTTCCAATCAATGCTCAGACTGTATATCTTAATGTTTCATACTCCCGAGCTTGGCATAGCGCCATGGTAGAAATCCACACGCTCTTTTGGGGGCACCAGAGTGCAGGCGAACATCCTCCTTTCTGAGGGAGGCATGTGGCCCTGTGTAAAGAGTAGAAATAATGCAGAAGGACATTTTTACACCAACACTGCCATTTCTGAGTTGTGTGACCCTGGCCCTGAAAGCTCCACTGCTGATGTCACCACACCTCACTGGACAACGGGGAGACAGCAGATGCAAACTGCACAGGGCAGAGTGCCTGACCTGGGGTAGGCACACAGCATGTACCAGTCCTCCCCACTGTACACAGCCAAGGCTCAATCAAAGGCTTAACCCAAGTCCTAGAGTTCTGCTTGTTGTTCAGTTGCCCACTCATGTCTGACTCTTTGTAACCCCATGAACTGCAGCATGCCAGGCTTCCCTGTCTCTCACCATCTCCCAAAGTCTTCCCAAGTTCATGTTCACTGCATCGGTAATGCCATCCAACCATGTCATCCTCTGATGCTCTTGTTTCCTTCTGCCCTCCATCTTTCCTAGCATCAGGGACTTTTCCAATGAGTCATCTGCGTGCATCAGATGACCAAAATATTGGAGCATTAGCATCAGTCTTTCCAGTGAATATTCAGGATTGATCTCCCTTAAGATTGATTGATTTCCTCGCTGTCCAAGGAACTTCCAGGAGTCTTTTCCAGCACCACAGTTCGAAGGCATAAATTCTTTGGCATTCTGCCTTCTTTATGGTCCAGCTTTCACAACCGTACCTGGCCAATGGGAAGACCATAACGTTGCCTATACAGACTCCTGTCAGCAGAGTAACTGGATACCCCCTCCAAAAGGGAGATACACAAATCACATTAGTACCATTCTATTTTAAACAAAGAAAGCCGACATACTTGCAGGGCAGAATCCGGACAACATCATTCTGTTTATAGCTTTCTATGCAGACTGCACAATGATCGAAGTCTGGGTCTGTTTCCTGAAAGGCAAAGAATGGGAACAAAAGTTACACGCTACTCCTAAAAGTACCTAAATGGAGGAGATACAATCCAGCTAAAATTTCTCCTGTGGCAACTATAGTAAATAGGTAATTATAGAATGAAAAGTTATACAAAATGTAGTATGTTTCCAACTGCTTAACTGTGTCAACCCAAGTTGTATCCAGGCCAATCTACTTTGTTTTTAAAACTACAGTGTAACAATTAATACTAATTCTGTTTGTGAAATAGCTTAGAAATCAGAATAATAACGTTTTTCAAGATTCAAATCAGCCATCACCTTGGGCCACCTTCTCCCCACTACTGCTGCGTCAGTATTCTGAGCATGTTGTCCTCACCAGGACATGGATCTGACCACAAAGTTAAGTATAGGCAGGAAAGATGGTGAGCCACCACCAGACCCGCCCCAAGGATAGGAGATCTGGGACCGAGAACAGCCACGGATTTGACTCTATACTAGGTCTTTTTCAAGGTTTAGGAAGAGTCTGCCAGGTGTTTGGTCAACAGGGTAACTGATCTCTGCCTCCTCTGGACTGGGGAAGGGTTCCCCTGACTTGTCATTAAACAGAGCACTACCAGGAAAGGCAACACTATTTGTTGCGTCACTGTCCCTTGGACTGAAACTCAGCAGGACAGGTCTAGGAGATATAAACTAAGAAAAAGTGTTGACTTTAGTAAGGAAAGATGGTTAGCACGGGGGACAAAGTAGGATGGATAAGTTAAATGAGCTCCAGGGAAGTTCAAATTAATGTGGCAGCTGAAGGCTATCAGATCAAAAAAGCGTTTATATGGGTTATCACTCCTCTGGCATGAAGTATAGTTGTTGAGATGCTGCATATATTCTCTGCAGGTATTTCTAGTTTTTTGTTTATTTAGTGTACCATGAAGTTCACTGAAAATATTTCTACCTTTCCAAGCTGTGACAAGGGAAAATAGATGTAGGGTGTCAAGGAAGTGGGAATAAAAATGAGTAAAGTAAAGAAAGTGGTAAAACTTAAAAGGGTGGAGAATTATCTGTAATTATCCTTCTAGAGTTCTTCGATAAAAAATTAGAGTTGTCTTTAGCAGAAGACAGGTTTGGTTTTTATGCCTTCATAGACACAATTTTTTAATTCTAGATAGCCTTGAATATATTGAATATAGGGTCTCACATTAAGTTGCTATTTTTGTCCACAGAAAGCAGAAGCAGGACTCCACCAAGTTTCGCGATCTGACTGAAAAACTGGGGTTAGCAATTTCAGCCACAGATAGCTTCTATCACTGCCTCTCCGATTTATTCCCCGTAAGCTACCAGGCCCAACTCTAACAAACAGTGCCCTTCTTTCAAACTGCTCAGCCAGCTGGACAGGGAGCACCATGTTAACAGCCACGCCCTGAATGTGGGTCTCCAGTCTCCACTAATGTGAAGAATCAAAACATAGAAGAGAGATGCAAAGTCTTAGAAAGCACAGGAAGAGAACGCACCTTCCTGGCTCTGTACAGAAGAACCCCAAAGTATCCTAGGTTTCAGCAGAAGAAAACTGTTAGGGAAACAGCTAGGGAAATTATAAGGAGTCCAGTGAAGCTAATGATGACAAGAGCATTAAAAGTCCAGGAAAATTAGAGAACTGTATGATCTCCAGATAACAGGCATACTAAGAATAAGATTTCCAAGAGAAGTTAGTTTACAATAAAGCATCAGATAGTATGCTTGAAGTAAAAGGAAAACCTAATGGAGGAGACACAAATGGTTAGTATGCATTGTCACCTACCAAATGAAAAGCAAAATACTTTACTGTTTTACAGTGCTAAAGTGATTTCATTACTATACCTTATCACCCTTTTTCACTGTTCTGGTTGTCAATTTGCTGATGGCTTTCTTGGCTGCATCTCCAAGACGACGCTATGAAAATAGCAAAGAAAAACAGATATTAGGTGTAAAATCTCTGGATTTTTTTTATTTCAGCAAACTTTAATAAAATTTTTACTGAATTTTAATATATACATTGTATTAATTTCAGGTATACAACATAATGATCCAATATGTGTAGATGTTTTGAAATGACCACAGTAACTCAATATCCATCACCAGACAGACCTTTTTCCTTCTTGTGATAACTTTTAAGATATGCTCTAGATGATATTCTTTATTTTAAAATAAATATATAAAGTCCTATTATCCTACATTACTTTCCAAGTCATATCACAGGAAAGGATTCCAAGAAAACAATTAAAAAGTTAGAAAAACTGGCAGTTTCCCCACAGACTTAGCATTCTGGTAAATAAGTGTATATAGTAAAAAAAAAAATAAAAAACAAAAACACCCAGGTGTCATAACCACCAATGCATTTTGTATCTAACAAACATTTGAAACATTACATTATCAGTATCTAGTTCTTATACACATCAGAGCTACAGACCACTGTTCCAATAGCTTTCTTATTCTGCTCCAAGGGTGACACACTCTTAGACATACAAGCTCTGTCTCTGAGAAAGGCTATCTCTAAAACGCCTCAAAACTGCTTATCAACCTCAGTGTGTGGGGGGAGGGATGCAGTCATGAGCTCTGCTTCTGACTGCCACTGCTATGCTCCATGATCTTAGGAAGGGACATTCACCTTTCTGAGCTTCAGTTTTTCTCATTTATTTAAGAGAGTTAAATCAGACAAATCTCTAGGGCTTGGAAAAGAGTAGGAAGGAGTTAGATAAGGAAAGCATTGGGACAGGAAGGGGGATTCTGGACCAAGGACTACTCCAGTAAAGACAAATAGGTAAGAGGCACAGGTATGTGAGAGAAATTACAGATTGATATAACTGTAACTATGGTGAGCATATATTTTGTTACTCAAAT